ATAAGTTAATTATTTGTGTATTGCAGCTACAAGTCCGATAGGACCAGATCCGTCTGGAAATATAACGCTTGAAAATGACGTAATTGTACCGATAGGAGATATTAACAAAGCTGAATACTTTGGGGAAACAAATCAGTATCCTGACACACTTTAATTAATTTACGTAATAGATAAAAGACAATTATTATGCATTACAAATTGTCATTTTCCTTGATGATATTATTAATAGATATGTAGTATACAATCCTGGCCAGGTAAAGCTCAATTATGTTGTACAAGTAAAATTCGATTGGGTCGATATTTTAGAAGATTGAATGTAGTTGTAGACGGCTTAATCAATAGACTAAATATTACAATTACTGTTGTAATATCATGATCAGTTTAAAAAATTATAAGTACACTGTAATGACCATTTATAGTACTTTGATAGGATTTTAGGTATTTAGTTTATACATACTAAACTATAAGAAAAATCTTCGACTTTGGGAATTGAGTAAGTCTTTTATACAACACTATTAGTATCGTAAAGCGCAAGTCTTACAATTTATTAATCTATATGGACTAAAGTAGAAGTACTTTTCTAGCACAGCATACTTACACACTTCGAAAATCCTTATCTAGTCAGTTATAAAGCATATTTTTTTAAATACAGTAAAAAATTATTATCAATATATTTGATAATCCAGATGTAATGCACTTAAAGCTATGCCTAGATACAATATGGTAGACAAATAAGATGGAAATAGTAGAAAAACGTAGGAAAATATATTTGTAGGCATGTTTACCGGTGAATTTATGAGCTTTAAATTAATGATAGCAATAAAGAAAATAACTTTCTTCGTAGCTATTTTTTCGAAAGTGAGTGAGGTCTTTGATAAAATAAAAAATTTGTTAAATAAATCTAAAGCTTCTTTTAGCTGTGACTCTTTCTTTATATTTTAATTGTCCGAAGTTTTTTTTGTTGCGAAGCTGGGGTGGTGACAGCTCTGTGATCGATTTTTCTCTAAACTTAAATAATTATTAGATTCATGTATCTGAAGTAAATTATTCTTGGCCGGAATTTTAGGAAGTACGATATTTTATGCCTGTAGTCGTGAAGATTCGTAACCGAGATAGTTTTTACGATGAGGAAGTTCAAATCAGTACTGCATAGTGTAATATGAAAAAGAAGTAATTATATCGTTTTCTAAGATATATTAAAGCGACAGTACAGAGAAAGCTGTCTATCGTTATTAAATTAACCGTAACATAGCTTAACTTAAGGTAAATTTCACTTTGTTTATTAGAAAAATATTGCAGAATTGCTTAATGAAAGAGATTTAGACACTTCATCATTCGCAGATATCAAAGGAACAGAAAATGCCAAAACAGGATAGCTGTTTATAAACTGCGTATGAGTGTGCTATTGGTAGCAACGATGTAGGTTTTAAATGTCTAGCATTAATTCTTGTACGGGAATAACTCTACAGTATTTGGAGGAACTGAAATAACAAGTCGTTTTGTAATATTGATAACTCTAGACTACCAGGCTGATAAACTACCTACAATGATTATGATAAATTTTACACGATAGAGCTGGTATTAAATCTGAATTACCATTTAATATTACATTAATTATTTAGATGTAGAGTTATGAACTATCGCAGTTACAGACAGGTATACTCTGAATAAAAAATATTTAGTAGATTTTCAGCTGATAATTAATTAATTAAGGGCAACAATTTGACTAACGTTACAAAGGAAGGAAGGGCGTCCTCTACCGGTTGCCTAGTAGCTACGCTACATTGCTGGATATTCAATGGGGCATATTATTATCATATCGAGTTGCTACTATAATTATGGCCATCAGGAAGCATCCAGCAGATTTTAGATAATTCATGACTACGAATTATTCTTTTGACTATAGTATATAAGAAAAGGCAATAGTATGAGGTACAGCTAAGATATAAATAAGAATGTAACTGATCAATAGTCTTTAAACAAACTGAACTGAACTGAACAGTTTGCACATAAAAAACTGCCACCTTACGTCAGTAATAAGATAGGATGATTAGTGCAAGAGCGATTAATTATATACTTATAACGTATTGCAGGTAAAACGCTATTAATAATCTATAAACCAAGAGGATAATCCTATACTTATTTGGTTTCCTAAGCAGCTTACTTGCTATTATTTTATATCTCTGCATCGGTGATTGGAACAGATCATAACAAAATGGAACATGGAGGAAAACAACGAGTCAGTCACTGTGAAGATCACGAGGAAGTGTTTAAAGCC